CTCCATGTATTATCTTCATCACGAAATGAATCTCGTATATAAGCACATTCTTTTTGTACAACAGCACGTTCTTCAGCTGCTGTTTTAGCGGAACGTATTTGTCGAATAAGATCACGAAGTCGAACTGGATTCGACTAAAATATAAATGTTAATTTACAAAAAGAAAAAAAAAATATTATGCTTTTATTATACCATTGATAAATCCGGAAATTTCATTTCTTTTGATGTTTTGTTTTTTTTGTTAGAATTTATTTGACTGAGATTATTTTACATATCTGTATAGAAAAAAAATATGAAAGATGAGAAAGAAAACAAATATTATCTAGATGTTGTCTTGTGATTCATTCGATTCATTGATTTAACCAATCAAATACATAGCCATATTAGTTTTCATAGATCAATTTTATCCATTCATTCTTAGTTTAAAATAAATTAGAAGATGGCGCTATTTAATATAATTTTATTAAATTTAATATTAAAATTAATTAGATAGATAATTTTTACTTAGTTAATTAGAAAATCTTATTTAGATAATTAATTAATAGAAAAAAACAAAAAAACAAAACAAAACAGAACAATAGTTTAATAATTATTGTTTTTATTTTGATTGAACTTATGTGGATAAACATGTATAAAAATCAATCAACAATAAAGTATTGAAATAAAATTTACATTCTATTAAATTTTGTCGTATAAACGATACATTCTATATAGATAAGTACGTATAATTAATCATTTATTCCTTTCGTTCGATTTATAATTCAACATAATGGTAAGTCGTAGTGAAATTCAAAAATCAGTTCTTAATATTCTATTTGTAAAAATTCTTTAGATAACATATCCATTCAATTTTTGGATAACTAATAATGTATTGAAGAAAATCTAAAACAGTTGATTTAAATCAGAATTCTGATGTTCTTGGGATATATATGTTGAGAAATTTGAGAGTGTTTTACTAGGAATTAATATTTTGGTGCGGAGTTATAACTGATCCAATCGGACAAACCTCCAGGAATAAATATTATATTACAATCGTTTATGTCTGTTAGGTTTCTCAATTTAATATCTCGACAAAGAAATATTCTTTTCGACGGAAACTTTCAGAATATTCTCCGAGTCATTCGATCTATTAGTGGACGAAAACACAGATCGAAAATTCAGTAAAACGGTTATTACTTAGCTTCACAGGCATGAATCCTTTTCGGATTTTTCTAGTCTTATCGCTGCCTCCTTGTACACTTAATATGAGTTCAAACAGTGAATATCAGGTCGGGTAGTTCCCTCGTCAACCTTTTCAGACAAACTTAATGTTTTTCTTCACATTATAGTGGTTTTTGAATAATGAAATATACTTCCGTTAAAGAAATAAAACCGATAGGTCTTGAAACAACTCTTTCATTATTTTCATAAATGTAAGCAAACTTACTCTCAATAAATTTTATCAGAAAAAAAATGTCAGAATTATAAAATATCTGGAACAATTATGAATGGTTGAATCACTATTGTCAGTTTATTTAAACATTTTCTTATAACTAATTCGTATTCGTTCGAAAAAAAGTTCTGAATATCTACGGTGAGAAAGAACATCAAATTCTAAGTTTTCACTGATTATTTTTGATTATTTCGAATGATTTGTAAATTGTCGAAAATTGAATGAATATGATGTTCCGAGATATTTTTACATATTGGTTAGATAATTTCTCTAATTGTAAGGTTAAATATAAAGATATAATATCAAAGAACGGATGCGGTAGAATAAATGAGCATTTCAATATGCTTGCGAGTTCTTAATGCTTTGGACTGAAATTCTCAACATAATTTTCTATTTCTTTTGAGTAATAAACAAATGCCATATACGAAGCAAAGATGAGATCGATTTGTGGTTTTTTTTTGGAATTGAACCTATCACATCTCTAATACGAAGTATAAGATCATTTTTATAACTATTAAAAAGAAGTCTATTCTTTGGAAATTAAAGCCCACACTAACTCGATTTTCTCTTTAGAGTTGATTCTAGTCAAGAGCAAAAAAGTATTTAGACAAAGTTCAGTAGAACTGTCCTACACCGCATCAAGAACTTATAAATTAAATAGTGCTCATCGAAAGAGTAATTTTTGCTTCGAATAAATCTTCTGTTTACGAACACAAGACATGTTTTATCTCTTAACTCTGGAAAAAAAAGAAATGTACTGTCGGAATATTTTCTTTCAAATTTGTAGAGAATTTCATGCTACATCTTTTGAAAAAAAAAAAAGCTCAGTCCGAAGCAATAATAAATGGTAGAGATATCGAGAGGATCATTTATTCTGCTGCATCGATTAGCTTAGAAGTCATATTTGAATTTGTTTTGTATTGATTAATTATCACTTAATATATTTCATTTTTGTATTTTCTTATTTATTTTCAACAAAAGATGAAATTGTAATTAGAACTTTATTGAATTGTTCAATATATAATATTAATCAGAGATAATAGTTTATTTGTTTTTTTTTGCCTGTTGAAGTCATATTAAACGAATTTAATTATTGTTTCTTCAATAATTATTAGAATCGGTAAATATGGAGAGTTTTTTTTTCTAAATTTTATATTTAGAAAAAAAGTATCAGGTTATTAAAAATGATAATTATCTATAGTTTGAAAATTATAACAAATAAAAATAATTGTTATGCTACTTAGAAATCTGTTAAAGTGCTTGATACACTTTTCATGTTATCAAAGTTTTTTTTTTTTTTTTTTTGATTGATTTATTACCAATTTGAAATTTCATTCAAACTATTGAAACTCATTGAATGAACGTAGACTGTTCATCAGAAAGACATATATCAATTGATTCTTATCATTGCAAACTACTGTCATTCTCTAGTACAGTAATATTTCGATGAATTGACTCTATCATTGATATATCTTTGAAAACTAGTTTCTATCATTAAATCTTTCATTGTATCGTATCAATTAGATTTATGACTTGTTCAATTCGTTTTATTCTATTTGAACTACAGAAATGTAATGGAGATGGAATATTGTTATAAACTTAGTATGTAGAATATAACCAAGTGTTCAATAATTTAGCTTACATGAAAAGAACTGATAAACAAGTATTTCTTTATTCAATTTTTACAATTCATTGAACTGGAAGCTTTCACATGTTTACCGCCAGAAGCTTTCTGTTAAGATCTGCTTATCAATATAATTTGTTATCTATGATTAACAGCATTAAATTGATGATGAAGTCTCGTTATCAAAAGAACATTTAGTCATATTCTCAGAACACATACAGAGGCATTACTTCAAATAAATCAAAAGAACCTTTCTTTCTTTCTTTCTTTTTACTTCTTATTACTAAGCATCAAATTCTGTTTTATATTTAACTCAAATGTTTAAAATATTTGGTCTTTTTTTGTTTTCTTTCTCATATATTTAAATTATTCTATTTGATTTTAATATTCAAAATACCGTATACTAGTTTTTGTCCTCAATAATATCTTAATAATTATCAAACATATGATAATTACAAATCTCATAAGCATTGACATTATCATTATCTTCTCAATCTTTATCAAATAATTAGTGATAATGATGTTTTTGTTTCAGATAGAAAAACAAACAAACTATTGAATTATAATGCAAGAGGTATAGAATATATATAAAGTATTATTTTGAATTTAATAAAATTTGTTTTAGTTCACAATCGATGAACAAGAAGAAGAAAAAATTGTACAACGTAATTCTCCAACATTATCAAGTAATGATGATTTAAGAGAATTATGTTTTTTACTTGATGCTGAACGTAATAAAATGCATGAATTAGCTGAACAATGGAAACAATTTGGTACAAGTACAATACATAAACTTGAATGTCAAATAATTGATTATCAAGAAAAATTAAATGAACTTGAACAACGACAAATATTACTTTTAAAAGAAAATGAATCACTTAAAACTTATATTAATCAAATGATGATAACAACAAATTCAAATGAAAATTCTTTAAAAGATGTAAAATTATTTTTTTTTTGTACTTTTTCTAATCATTTGTTTATTTTGTATTTTTTTTTATTCAGAAAAAAATTCAACAAAATATTGCAACTCAAACACATGTTGAAAAACATGAATCATCACATCATTTATGTTTTCATCGACCAAAACCAATTTATGATCGTTTATCACGAACAACAACAACAGCAACAGCAACAGCAACAGTTCAACCAAGAGTTTCAATTAGTAAATTAACACGTCAAATGTCAATTGATGATCCACTTCAACAACAAATTTCTATTCAAAATATGTTTGATGCAATTAAAGTAAATAATGAAATAAAAGAAAACTTTGTATCTTTTTTTTTTTCTATTTCAAAATCTTTTCTTTTATAAAGACAGCTGAAGTTTATGAATCAATTGAAGATATAATTGGAGATAATGATGAATCAGAAAAAAAATTACTCAAAGAATTTTGTAATGTAAGTTTAAAGAGTGTTCAAATAGAAGAAGAAGAAGAAGAAAAAAAAAAGTACTACCTTTCTATAAATGAATACATTTTATTCTCGATCAATGACACAGGAAGAGACATTAATTTTTTTTTCTTTCACTTCCTATACAAATATTTTCTTTTTAATTTTTATTGACCTTTAAATTTTTCTTTCTAATGAATACTATAGCATTTACAACTTATCGATTATGAGTGTTGACTAATAAAGACATATTACTTGCCTTGAAACTATAAAACAGAATAAAATCGATTTTTTTTTTCCTAGATAGTAATAATAAATGAATAGAATATTTCTTTTTTTAAATAAAGAAACAGCAACCTTTAGTTTGAAATTGATTATATATATATACTCTTTTTTTCTTTTTATTGTTCTAGCTCATTTGGAAATACCTCGAAGATCGCTCAAAACCAAAAAGCAGTTGTTTATTATAATCAATTCATGATTTTTGTTTTAGTTGTCAGATAGCATATAAAATTGAATTGATTGGTTTTTTTTTTGACTTTTGTTTGAATTTTTAAAATAAAAAATTATTCATATGAATATACCTATACAATAAACTAAATGAAAATAGTAAACAAATAAACATAGATACAAGATGAGATGATGATGATGCTGATATGATCGTATATTGATCATTTGATGTATTACTTTCAATCATTTTTGTTTTTGGAATATTTATCTCTGAAAGTGTTGTTGTCGTTGTTGTTGTTGTTGTTGTTGTTGTCGTTGTCGTTGTCGTTGTTGTTGCCATGGCAGTAGTAATAGAGGCGATTGAATTAATTATAATAGAACGAAATGTTGATGTTGATGATGATGATGATGACGTTGATGATGTTTGAAAATGTTGGTAGTTATAATTTTCAATATCAATATCTTCTTCTTCGACATAATCTTCATCATCAAAATCATTTAATTCACTTGCTTTTCTCATATCATTACGTAAATCATATATAGCTTGTTCGGTTAAAGGTAAATTATCTTGTGAACGTAATACTAATGATGGAAATATCTAATATAAAAATCAAAGAGAATTCATTAAAGATCATGTGAAAAAAAATTTTGTTTTTTTTGTCCTTACGTTAACCGCAAAAAATGATGATGATGTATTAACATTTTCATGCATTTGACACTGAATTAATCTAAAATAGATAATAATAAATGATTGCCTATATGATTTTATTTTTTTTAAAAATAAACAAATCAATATTTTTTACCGTGTTGTTCGAAGAACAAGAAAAATAAGTTTCCATAAATGATAACAATCAAGAAAAGATGAATCAATTGTTGAAAACAATTGCATTTTTTTCTTCTATTTGTTTATATCAATAGAATGAACAATGTATGAACATCCTTTATTGTATGAATATAATATGACTTGATCTAAATAGTTGAAGTATAAGTGATAAGAAGAAATATTTTCATGACTGAGAGAAAAACAAAAAAAAAAAAAAGAAAAGAAAAGATTGTCATTTTTTAAGCGGACACTTTCGTGTTTGTCGATCCAAACCGAGAATATAGAATATAATCTCAATCAGAGTAGCAATGAGCAATCATCAGAAGAAGAAGAAAAAAACCACCACACGTGAGTACCAATTCGTTCAGCAAGTGATTCTTGAATAAAACAAGAGGAACACGTCGTACTATTAGGTCTCAATTAGTCAAAGCATAGAAACGACAAGACTTGTTGACAAACTATTATTCTGTTAGAGATTTTTTTCTGACTTCATCGGTTTTTTTTTCTCGTATGCTTTTTTCTTTTTTTTTTTCCTGGTATGTTTCTAGTACTAATATCGATACGTGTCTAACTCATAGTTGATGATTCCTTGATAGAAAAACGAATTAGCACCTATAGAGTTTCGCGTTAATGCTCTTTTCTGATCATATATCAATCATAGATTCTGTCCTATACTAAAAGAGCTACTCATAAACAAGAAATTGATCGTCACAGGGGATCGCTTAGACATTGGTGTTAACCTCTCAAGTCGTTTATTGCTATCCTTGTTTGTCCCAAAGCACCATCTTACTTTACTTCATCTCTCTCTCTCTCTCTCCTTCTTGTGCATTTTTCATTTCCGTTATAATGATGCGAAACGACGCATAAGGGGTTCAATGACTGTGCGTCGTACGGTATGAAAGCATCATTGTAATAAACCCGTTGTATTGAGATGCGGAAAATCGTTATGAACAATTCCTTTTTTTTTTGGTTCTATATTTTTTTCTTTTTCTCATATATAATAGCAAAACTTGAGAACATTTTCGATGTTTTCTTCTCTCTCTCTTTCTCTCTCTCTCTCTCGCTTTACTCTACAGATCTATTATGGTGACTATTACTTATTAGAACCTCTTCAATAGAAAAGGAGACGGAAGATGAACGCATAAGAATAAGCGAAGCAGTTGGATGCGATTGAAAAACAATTAGATCTCGACGGGTCTATTCAATGAATGAACGTGACATTAACCTGAAAAAAGAATGAAATGATGGTGACGTTCATAAGAACAAGAAAAAAAAAAGGAGAAATTTGAATTCATATGAACAATGAGATTTCATACAAAAAAATAGATTGATAAGATCGACTTGATTGAATATATTATATATTAAAGAAGTAGTGTGTGAACTAAGTTGACAAAAACTATGAATAAGATAGTTAATGCCTTTTTTTTCCTCGTTGTCTTATCTTTATTTATATATTTATTTATTTATTGGAATAATAATGAGAGGCAAAAAAAAAAGTAATCATCCATATTTTAATCAAAATATCAATGAAAAAGAAAAAAATAAATTAACCATTTAATGTTCGGCTAACTTCATTCTTAACTTCAGCCAAAAATGCTATCATACCAACATATGCTTCATGACACACACCAGGTGCTTGTTCTGGTGGTAAAATAAAACCATTTGATGATCCCGCTAATTAATTAATATCAAAAAAATAAAATTTTTTATTTTCAAGCAAAAAAACACAAAACACTTACATTGTGTTGGTGGAAGTTCAATTGTAGCTGAATAAGGAATATCTAAACCATCATAAGCCCAATCAACAGTACTACCACTAGCAATATCTAAACAAAAAAAGGAAATAAAATAAAATTTGATATTTTTCCACACATAAATAAAAATAACTTACATAATACATTAGCAATAGTACCTATTGTATATGTTCTACTCGCATTAACTACTTTAATAGCGTCTGTACCCTTTTGTGCTGCTGCTACTTGTTTCTGATAATTAGGTGGAAAACTATTTCCATAACCATACTAAATATTTTTAATCAAAAATATTTTTATTGAAAAAAAAAAAAAGAAATGAATTTACCGGTAACCTAAAAAGAAAATTATTTCATAAAGGATTAAAATAAATACAACAAAAAGTTAAAGTTTACTTACAACCACAATTGTCCATATGAATGAAAAGACATATACATATCCCATGTACCTTTTTTTGCATTAAGAAAATTAACTACATTTTGTGTTTCAATTTCACTTTGAGCTGATGAACCTTTCATATGGAAGAAGAAAAATATATATATATATATATATATCAATATCAAAGTAGATTTTTCTTGATAGTTACCACCGTATGTTTCGCTGCATGCAAAGTTGCTAGCACCACCTGACAGAAAAAAAAGCAAGATTAAAAGGAATATTTGTTCAAACCAATTCTCTTTTATACCTGTCATCCATTTTATTGGATAATTACGATTGAGATCAACACCATAACAACCAAGATAATTATTGTTTCTACGATTCTTACGCCATAATCGATCCTAAATAATTTATTATTCTTTTAATCAAAATTCATATTATAACAAAAAAAAAGAAAAGAAAATGAAACTTACATTAGTTCGAGTAAATTGATATCCTTAAATAAAATAAAAATAATAATAATAAAACAATTTAATCTATTCTTGATTTCTTACCATCAGGATTAAGTACTGGAGCAATATAAACAGTCCAATAATTGAGTAAGTCTACAACGGCAGGCTCATTATTATTATAATCTTGAATTAATTTATCAACCATCCAAACGCATGTAGCTGGTGTAATCCATTCTAATTTATTGAAAAAATAAATAAAATAAAATAGAATATATACTTCTTTTTCTTTTTATACCTCTTGCATGAATACCACAATCGATCCAAATATTTCGTGTTGATGATGGATTAAATTGTATAGAAAGAATATTTATTGGTCGACCTTCATGGCTATTACCAATATTAATAACATTTATATGTGTTGGATCAGCCTTTGCTTTGTCTTGAATAAATGTTACTATATCATCATAACTAGCATATGTTCCAACAATATCTACTTTAGTTTGTCCAAGTAAAAGACTTTTCGTTTGTCTTATTAAATAATCAGCTGCAAGTTGTTGTTGTTCATCATCAATAATTTTTTGTAAATCATCAACAAGAACACTAAATGGTAATGAATATTCTTGAAATTGTGAAACATATTGATCATATTCATTTGCTTTTATATGAACATCAATTGGTTTATTTGGTCCTATAATTTCAGTCCAAAAATCGAGTGAAGTATATTGTTCAAGATTTTGAAGATATCTTATATGTTCATCAGTTGATGGTTCTAAACGAACTAACTTATCGTGAACATGTAAACGGTTGGCTTTACTGTATATAACAGTAGATATCAGAATAAAAAAAAAAAAAACTAGTCGATTCATGGTGACAAACAATAAAACAAAAAAAATGGATGAGAATATACTTGGTTATATAGATACCAAGGCAGCGTTTTTTCCCTTTGTCATCCTTAATCTTCTATTGATCAAATATTATCTTGTATGATAAAGATTTGAGTGGGTTAAGCGAACATATGCCAGATGTTTGTCCATGACCGTAGCTGGATTTTTTATTTTTTATTTTCTAGGTTTGATTTTTCTTTTTTTTGACCATAACACAAAAAAAAAATTTATTTTTTTAAAATGAACTTTTTTTGACAAAGAAAAGATTCAAAATGTTACAATAGATATACATAAGTTATTTATGTGTTAATATTATCAGAAACTGATACAACAGGAACATTTGTATCTCTTGATCTATTTTCAGTTGATTCATATACTGTAACATCATCATGACTAGGTAATAATTGTGATCGTTCACTTGATATTGGTGGACGTGTTACAAATTGACGAAATAAATGTTCCCATACACCATTATAAATACCCATACCAATAACCAACATTATGAAACCTAAATCAATAAAAACAAAAAAAACCTATTTTCATGAATTAATTCAAAAGAAAATCTTCTCACCTAATACTTGTAATAAATAAAAAGATTGCCATTTTAATGCTAATGATACAATCCATATAATTAATGTTCGACCACTATCAAGTACCATACGTGTTGTTGATGATAATTCTTTAGTTACACTTATACCAGCAAAATTAAAGAATGCAATAGATAAAATATTTCCTAAATGATAAGAAAATTAACATACACATAGATCGATAGATTTTCTTTTTATTTAAAATATTTTCTTACCAATTGTTGCAAGAATAATAATCCAATTACCACGCATTTGACAAAATGCTGATGAAATATCTTCAAGACGATGATCTGGACCAGTATTTGATGTTGGAACAATAATAAAATAAAACTAATATGATAAACAAAAAAAAACAAAAACCTATAATATTTATATTACAATTATAAAAATATTACTGGTATAAGAAGAAGACCAAGTGTACAAAATCCAAATATTCCTTCCCAACCAACAGCTTGTAAAGGTGGAATATTATATTTACCAATAAAACGTTCCTCATATACTACCTATGTATATATATATATCGAATGAACAATATTATTTTGTATTCTTTTTTTGTTTTATTCATACTTGAAAACTAGTAAATAACATTCCAACAAGTATAAGTGCATCACCTGCAATTTTTTCTGTATTTGTATGACTACCTTCAGGCTGTTTTGAAAATATAATATCTGATACACCAACAATAGTAAGACCAATAACAACAGTAAGAATACCAAGCCAATGTTTCCATGTTAATTTCTTTCGAAGAAATAAAACACTAAAACAATAAAATGAATCTTCTTTTTCTTTTATTTTTCAAAATTAAATACCTAAGTATAGCAGTAAAAACCATAACTGAACCTCGTAACATTTGAAATGAGCTTGCACTTGTATAATTTAATGCAATATAAGATAAACATGTTGAAAGCATATCACATATTGATGCAATCCAAAATATAAATGGATTAAATGTTTGTTCACCATCAACTAATCGTGTATCTTTTTGTACATTAATTGGCCAACAACGAACTATAGGAGATGATGCATCACCTTTATAGACCATTCGTTCAATACGATAACGTGCAGTTGAATACCAAACAAATTTAAATACTAATAAACATAAAAATTCACCCAAAAACATGCCAACAGCCTAAATAAATTTTGCTGTTTTTTTTTTAAATAAATATGATTAAAAAAAAAAAGTTATTTACTTGCAGAAATGGATGTTCATATGTAATATTTGTACCGGATCCATCACAAAAATGGGATGTTTGTCTAAATAAACAGTAAATATCAAACAAATAAAAAAAAGATTATAAATAAAAATAATCAATACCGATCAGCCCATTTTGTTGATAAAGTATTGATACTTCCAGTAATTAACATAAGACCGGCTAAAAATAATTGATACGGAGTAAAAGCCATTATTTTATCTACAAAAATAAAACAAAAATAACATTCAATATTTTTCTATATTTTATTCTTGTTTTCATTTCATTCTGATAACTATTATGGTTGCCCTCGTATGCTGTTTGAAACAACATTAACCACAAGTAGATGGTCTACAGGCATATGTGTTATGCATCGAGATGATTATTTTTTTTTTTTTGTCGTTTTTATTTCTATATTTCATCAAGTATCCACACATCGAACAAGAAAACGAATGGATAAAAACAAAAGTCATGTGAAGTTGATATTACTATTTATGTTGTAGAATATATCTGATTTCATTTTTATTATTATCGAAATGATTATAATCATCATATATAAATCTTTGATTATTTTGTTCTAAATAATTAATAATTAAAGATGAATAACGAACATGAGTTTGATTAGAAGAATTATTATTTTTAATAATCGATATTTTTTTCATTTGTTCTACAATTATTTTTCTTCTATTCAAATAATTATCATTGAATAGAATATATCTATAATATTATATTTGTTTATATATATATATATATATTTGATTATATTTAAAATACTTACATAAATATAGGTAAAGTTAGAAAATGAAGAAAACAAGCAAGAATAAATATTAATTTCGGATAAGTACTAATTGTATATGAATAAAGAATATTAAATAAAAGTGATCCAATTAATGCATCAATCGATTCGAGTGATGCAATAATAGAAAAAATTTTACCTTGACAAGAAAAAAAACATGATATAGTTTTTTTTTTATCTCAAAGACAATTAATAAATACCTTCTTCGTCAAGATTACAAATTTTTGAAATATATGATCGAATACCTACAACAACATACGATGATAACATACCGAATAATGGTACTAAAAACCAAAATGAAAATTTATTTTTTTCAAAATCAAAAGATTTCATTTAATATTACTCATAAAAATAAATGTTTTTGAATGATTCATAGCATAAAGAAAATCACCTATACATTTTGATAATGTACCAAGAATTGCACATGATATATCACTTATATTAAATAGATATCGTAATATTGGTAATAGAAGTAATAAACCAAGACCAAGACCGAATGATTTTAAACCACGAAATATTCCATAAAGACTTTGTGAAAAAGATAATGGTGATTTTTTTAAATAAAGATAAATAACTGATGATTCGCCTAAATTTCAAATCGAGATAAATGTTTTAATTTAAAAAGAAGAGAAAATAATAAAATATAATTGCAAAATGCATTTGATCTATTTTATTTACCAATACTTATTAAACTAAATTGAAAAATTTTATTAAGATATGAACAGCAGATATTTGATTAAGAGAAGTTTATCAATTTTGATATCTTTATATTTATATTCCTGAAAAATTTCATCTATGACAAATTTAATGTATATCAAAACTAGTGATTTTTTTTTTTGCTATTGAATTAGACTATTAGTGATTATTCTATTTTAAAAAGTTAAGATCGTCTTTAATAAATATTTACAAGAGATGCTTTTCATTTTTATAGGAAATCTCCCATTTTATCAATGATTATTTTTTATCACACATAAAAATGCTTCTCTCTAAAAGATAGATAAGAAATACTAAGAACACTGTAGATATAAATTAATATTATTTGCTTCATATATGAAAAGTGTTTCGAAAGTCAACAGAAGAATAAGACACAAACGCTTCTTACTTGTAAGTTATATAACGTTTTTTACAATTTGACTTTAATTTCTATCAGGTATATTTCAAATAAAATCTATCAGTCTATATTTATTAGAAATAATGATTGTTTATTCCCTAGGCAAACTTTTTTTTCTTATGCTCGCGTGACCTGTGCACACCTCAAGATTTATCCATAGCGCATGACTTTCTTGCTCAAGACAAGCGCTTGAGTGTTTGTATGAGTTACAAGAAACTCATGTGCTCAATCCAAGAAAATGCAACTATGAATTTTGAATTATTTTGCACGTAAAAATTGAAAAGAAAATTGAAAAAGGTTTCTTAATAACAGAGACACTTGAGTAAGAATTCAAGCACATGGGCAAGAATATCAAACGATAGAACAAGAAGTTCAAGAATTTGAACTCATCGAAAGGTCTCAAGATTTGTCCATAGCGCATGACTTTCTTAATCAAGATTCTCAAGTATCTCCTGCGTAGACCAAAAGAAGTTCGTCTTGAGTTAATAACTAAATTTAATTGATATTTTTAAAAAAATCTTAAAGAAGTCAAGATCAACTTAAATCACAAGAAATCTTTGCTTTTGCTTTCAGTTGAAACATTCTTTTAATATTACGATGCATCTTATATACAAAACTCTATTACGAAATTGCTTTTGTTTTTCAGTCTATTACTTGATACAGTAGCATGTGAGACTAGAAAAAAAAAAAGAATGCTTCATAGTTAGACATGAGAGGAACCATCATGCTCAATATCTATTGATGACTAAAAATTAACTTACACGCTACATAATAAACCAAATATTGCTAGAAGAAGATATTTTCTTTGATTAAATTCTCTTTGTTTAAATAAAACACGAAATGAATTTTTTATATCATAACAAAAAAATAAAATTTCATAAAAATTTTTATATGATTTAATATTTTGTTTTTGTTGAATAACTTCTTGAACATAAAAAATAATATATATAATATTAATAAAATGAATAAAACTAATAAATAAAAAACAATATTGAAAATTTGTTAAATCAATTAATATTCCACTTAATATTAAACCAATTGTTGAACCAAACATTAAACATGATTCAATAATTGCAATACGTTGTGTACGATTTTCAATTGTTGTTATATGTGATATATAATTATAAATTATTGAAAACATTGTTGATGTTGAACCAAATAAACTAAGAAATATATTTGATAAAAATAAAATTTCTAATGATAAATTATATTTTATAATTGATACAAATAAATTAACTATTGCTGATAATATACAACCAATACTTGCAAATATCATTGGAATTTTATGTGAATATTTATCTGACCATATACCACATATTATAGAAATAAATATTGATGGAATAGAATAAACAAAATTAAAATACATTACATAAATAGATGTATATTTTTGTATAATATCTTCCATATGTTCATAAATATATGTTTTATTAATTTTAATTAAATTCATTGAATTACATAATGATATATTATATAATTTATAACAAACTTGTCGATAAAGAAGTGCTTCATCTGTTGGAATATTTACATAAATTGCTAACATATAAAGAAAAACAACAGGTTCAATACTAATAGATTTCCACCAAGGAATAGTTTTTTTCAATGTAAGATCTACGTTTATTCGTTTTTCACTTGATCTTATCATGATTTTCAAACGAATCAAATATCATAGACATGTGATACGATAAACGCATATAATCAATCAATCATGGGTTTGTTATTATTTATTTTGAACTGGAAGTTTTCTTGCAATCAGAGGTCGCTATTCAACAGAGAAAATTACTCTTTTTTTTATCGCATCGAATCAATATTAAATGTTAATCATTTTCAAAAGAAAAAAAAAACGAAATAATATCATTTGTGAGTTTCCATATGTATACATATCGGTGAATATAAAACAATTTATCTGGGTATTCCAACAAATAATACAGAAATATACTGGTGATGGAAGAAAATATATTTCTAACTAACTCTTACAAGGGAAGCTACACAATTGATTAATTGCTTGTGAGTCGAGATTATGTGCATGATGTAGGCCCTAATGAACTATGAATACCCAGTAGTGTAGAACTCGTTAAGTCGTAACGACTTTTCAACTATTCTACGACTTTTCAACTATTCGACTTTTCAACTATTCAACTTTCAACTGTGCGACTATTCAACTATTCAACTTTTCAACTATTCAACTTTCAACTATTCGACTTTTCAACTATTCGACTTTCCAACTTTTCAACTGTTCAACTTTTCAACTGTTCAACTTTTCGACTATTCGACTATTCAACTACTAACGATTGTGCGACTTTACTACTATTCGTGTTACATGGGACCCGAAGCATGTCTGCATAGTTTTTGTCGTTACGGTCTGATCAGTGTTCCGCGACACTCACAGCATGTGTGTGTGGTTTTAGTCGTGCGATTTGGTCTGCGTTCCACGGTACCCACAGCATGTGTATGTGGTGTTAGTCGCTCTACTCTGATCTGTGTTCCGTGACACCCACAGCATGTGTGTGTGGTATTATTCGTTCCGATCTGGTCTATGTTCGAATAGTTTAATAGTCGTCAAAAGGTGAATACTCGAATAGTTGAATAGTCGTAACGACTTTTCGAGTTTTACATGTATGATAAGCTTATAAAAAAATATAATAATTTCGTACGAAACAAGATTTCCTACAAATCCACGCTATTAAAATAACTTTTATCTTCTTGGATACGCGAATAAGACAGTATAAAAACGTCTATCGGCATATTTTCTGACTCTCCGTTCTCGATATCATCGCACCAGAACATGATAACTTTCGATATATATGTCTAGTAAGTAAAAACTAATATGTGGTGCGAAGCTATCCCAATTTTCGGCAATGTGATTTCAATTAACATAAGAACGATAAATGACTTCATCTAGACTTAAACCTGTCCTATCGAAAATTTTTATTATTTCTCCTGCTCACAACAGTTAACTGGAGACTAACTCATTATATTGAAGATTCAAAAGCCTTTGTATCATCTCGAGACAAGAATATTTCTGGCATAGTTCGAACGAATTTCTAGCGACTTGCCGTTCTTTGGAACATCGTGATACAATGTACAGATTTTATTACAGCAAAAAACACGCCAAATATGAAGGTTGAATGCGTACGCGACCGACTACAGAAATGTTGTGCTTCGTATCGCATTAAAGATTGAAGTTTCGTTTAAAATACGAAATTGACGAATACATTTTAAATTTCAATTCCTGGTTCTCAATGTAACGAAAGCTTCGAAAGATGCAGCAATATTCCATTTGATCATTGTTGTTGCTGAAACTCGTTTCATTATACCATGGTCATCGCTCTCATTTTCATTATCTCGAAAAGAAAAGCCGAGTTCTCACTTCAAAATCGTCATTCTGTGGACCGAATTGAGAACAAACGGAACTTCATATCGAAGTTTCGGAAAAAATTGATCGTATAGGAACATAGAACTTTGATGACAGTGTTTGAACGAATATCATACAACTCTCTGATCTTTATATTATCGAAATACAAAATAGCGATTCAAGTTATGTAACGAGAAAGTAACGGTACGTTGTAACGTAAAAATATATTTTTCTTTTTCGAAAAAAAAAAATCAGAGTCTAGGACAAGCACTATATGTACGTGGCTTAGCCAATTGTTCAATAGCGTCTTTATGTTTTTGATATCTACTAACAATTTCAATATCTGGAAAATGATGACTGACAGTTTGTAGAATTTTTCGATTATGTTTTCTCATGTCTTTTGTTTGTTTCTCTTGACGAGCTTTCAATGATAGATCACGTCTTCGTTGATCATTAAAAATAGTATTTAAATTTCTTAAATGAAAACAAAAAAAGACAACAATATGAAAATTAATTTGAAATTATTCCTTTTTTTTTTCATACTTATATGTTAAAGGTTGACTTGTAGTTCGTGTAAGACGTTTATGAATATTTTGAATATCTTCAGTTTGAAGTGGTATACCTGATTTCTTACATATACATTGAAAAAGTATTAAAAGAACAAAATGTTTTCCATGAAAATTTCTTACCACAATATTTAAAGTAATACTTTTTTTATCTAATTGTAATTTATTGTTTTTATCCAACATTCGAAAATATTCTAATGTACGCCAACGTCTTTCATCGATATATTGAATAACTTTACGCATTGAATCACCTTTTGTAGCTGATATATGAAAAATAAAAATAAAAGCAAATAATAATGTAGAATTATATTTTTTTTAGTCTTTTTGAAACGTAATGTAATTTCAGTAGATAAAAGCTATTCTAGTTCTACCTATGAATTATTATAACTATTTTGATAACAGAGCCACCATGACTGATTGACTATGTTGTTCCACACGTATCTACAAGGTACTGAATTTAAATCTCGGTATCGCCAGCCATAGAAAAACCTTACACAAGTTGCTAGCGACTGCTTGTCTAGGATCATTCGTCTGATACCATGTTGACTACATTGTGACATACACCTATTCTTGTGGTTAGTTAGTAGATTAGCGAAAGGCAGAGATATGCTTTCCACTCTGATAATTATAGGTAAATGTACGAGTTCAATTTCTGTCTTCGATTATCTTTGATACATACCTGTTTCTCGACCGAGTATATCATGTACAGGCATTTCACAATCATATTTCATAATAAAACTTCTTCGCTGTGCAATTTTTTCGGCAAGACGAACAGTTGAAGTAAAAACAGTTATACCCTGATATAAATTTAAATCAATTAAAACGAAAAAAAAAATCAATCGTAAATCGAATCATACCGATATATCAAGCATAGAAACAGCACTTGTTTTTACATTTAATGCTTGAACAATATATTGAACACCATGTGTTGTTATTGGATTATAAGAAAGCTAATAGAGATCAACAAATAAAATGAAATTAAAACTATAATTTTAAAATCAAATTTCATTTACATTTAATATATGAAGTGTTGAATTTTTTATTAAACCTGCACTAATTAATTTTGCACTTATCCATTCAATATTACAATTACTTATATTTAAACGTTGTAAAACTTTATTAACAATTAAAATTCGACGAAGTGCAACACTTCCATCATAACTAAGACCACTCCATGATATATCAAGTTCTGTTAAAGATTGATTAACCTTTTCAATTAATAAAAAACAAAAAACAAAATAATTTTCTTTCTATAAAACAAAAAAATTTTACTTCAATTCCTCGGAAAAGAGCAATTGATGCAACACCTCGAATTAAATTCCAACTTAAATTTAAATACGACAAATTCTTATGTTCAGCTAGAAATAAAAAAAAACATTTAATACGAAAAAAAAAGCTGTTAGTGCAATCCTTATGGGATTAAAATGTGAAACAACATGTCGCTGCTGCTAATCACTTGGAAAATATTTTATTCTATCTATTTTAGAACTTATTTCTTCATCATCCTTTTATTTTATCCTCCGAAAATTCAATAAGGAAGTAGTTCATTTTTTATAATATCTGTCGCGATCTGTGACGCGTGGAGGCCGTTGAATCCGGGTCCGAAAATTTTGAACCCAACGGAATCTACGGGAGAGGCATTGATAAGGTATCTGTTACGCTCTGTAATGTTCCTATGATTATATCTGTCACAGTTTGTGATAAAGAAGATGTCTGTCATGGTCTGTGGAAGAGTTACAAATTTCTATCCTATATACATCAACATTCCTTTCAGATCGTGTTTCGAAAAAAAATAATAATAATAATAATACAAACTCAAAGCATTGCCAATAAATATACATGCATTTTCTCCAAATTCGTTTCCACTTAAGTTTATTTCTAAAAGTTTTTTAGGTCGACATAAATCACCAATTCCAATACCATAAGAATCTTCCATACCACAATTTGCCAATGATAAATAAAGTAATGATGAAAGATGACTAAGTGTATCAACTATTGATTCAAAACCTTTCTTACCAATTTTATTATTTGATAAATCCTAGAAGAAGAGAATATAAAAAACAAAGTTCAAATGAAAATAATAAATAGACGAGTTCTTTTATTTTATTTTACCAATAAGTTAAGATGAACACATTGGTTTAATGCTTGGCAAAGTACATGTACTGAACGTGATGTTAAACCTACTGAATGTAATGTTAAACTTTCGAGATTTCCTTCAATTGCAGTAGCAAATGCACGAAAATCATTAAAAGAAAATGGCCGATCAATAATCGTAATAGTATCATATGGAAGAAGAGCTCGTATTTGCCAATCACTTGTTATATCAAGTGCTTGACAACTATTTTCATAGATTTGAACTCTTGCTAAAAGAAAAACAAAAAAAAAAAAAGAGTCTTTTTGTTTACGAATATAAGAATTTTAATTACTAATATTATGTGGTGTTTTACATCGTAATGGAACAAGAGTTTCATCATTAATTTCTTTTTCAATTTTTAATTGAGATTCATATGGTATATTTATTTGACCAAATGTTTGATTCAATCGATTACTACGATGAGCTACTAATTTTTCATCGAATGTTAACCGACTTGGTGTATATTCATCGATTTGATCTTTAGAAAAATTGAAAAAAAAAATATTTATATAATTCTATTTTTTTTTTAAGATGACAAGAGACAATTTACGAATATTTGTGTTCAAATAAAATCTCAAATATTTTCATTTGAAACTTTCAGCAATTGTAGAACTCATGATTATTAATTGCGATAGTTTTACATGTTTTATTCTATATATATATTGTCTGGAAAAATATCTATTTCGTAACTTTCTATGGTTCTTGGTGATAATATTTATTGATCATTTTTTTAGTTCTTTTATCTTGTTTGTCTTCAACACGACTGCGCATTAGGAATTCTTAAATAGGATTTTTTTGAGAAATTCATTAAAACAAAATTTATTTTTAGATTTATTCTTCAATAAAGAGACTTGTGTAAACTTGCATTAATAAAATAAATGGATATGCCAATATTTCTAATTCCTCTATGAAAAAAAAAACATTTTGTTCATTCTGTATCCGACATAATGTGATGAAAGAAATATTTCAAATGGAAAAGTACTTTTTTTTCAACAAGTATTTTTCCATGAAAAAAACACTTATCTCGGTCCGTTAATAGACACTTTAATTTGTTTTCAACAGATATAGTCTACTTGATATATTGAACAATGCTTATAAAAGATAAACATGAGTTTTTTCTATAGAAACATTTATATTGTTTCAAGGTCGATGCAAATATCATTCGAGTGAAAGAATTTAATTTCTGACAACGCTAGTCTACTCTCTACGGGATATCAAACTTCAAGCAACATTGCAGCGATATGAAAGACTAATCATATAGTTGTTCATTTAAAACTGAGATTTTTTTTTATAATACATAGTATCGTCAACATTACTAGACAGATAAACCAACAATTTCTAAAACACAGGAACTTGCTAAATATTCTTCTGTAATGACACACTGTTTTACTATATAAGAAAAAATGACTAATAGAATGTTTTTATATATGCTTATATTCTTCATAGTTACATATAGAACGAGAACTATTTTTGGCATATTGATAAATTATAAATTAATGTATAATAATGATGAAAATACAATGTTTTTAGCTGTTTTTTGTTCAAAGAAAAATCAAAAATAAGTCAACAATTTTATATTACAATAAAAATAAGCAGTTGTATTTGTAAACAAAAATTTAATACTAAGATGTCTAATTAGTGTATAATCCTTACTAGATGAAATTGTAGCCAACAGTGAAAAACAATCTTGTATATTAATTTCCAATTACTTGCTTAGCATTTCAGAATACAATCTTAACTATAAATATCTATATATATCCAAACAAATTTAATCCCAACATTTCTTTTATAAATATGAAGGAGTTATATTAAATGTTCTTAAACCAAGGGGGAAACAGCGTACTTGAAGTAGAAAAGTATGCTAAAGTACTTCAAAGTAGGCTATTTGAAGTAGTTTAAAGTAACTTCAAGCACCTTCAAGTAAATTTGAAGTTAGAAAATACTTCAAAGTAAGCTTCCTGAAGTAGCTGAAAGTAACTGGAAGTAGCTTAAAGTAACTTCAAGTCCAAAAGTTCGCTGTTTCTCCCTTGTCTTAAACACACCTTATATAATAAAAAAAACTTGAGTAGCGAATGAACATCTACTACTATTTTATATGATTTAAATGATGATTAATAATATTGGATGTCACATAAATAACTAGATGATTAATATAACAAGTTCTTAGTAGCATTGCTAATATTGTATTGTAATCTCTATCAAGTGACTTGTACAATTGAAGCGGAAATTAGCCGATTGTAAGTAGCTTACGGTGATACAAATTTTTACTTGTAGAAGTTTTTTTTTATTGTTATAGATGAATGACTGATTTTTAATTTCATACGATACAATTCTAGACTTTATGCTTTGAATAGTTTGTCTATATGCTGAGTTTCACATTATCATAGGTGTGAAAACAAAATACTCTTTTGTATTTTAGAACCGTTCGAATAGTCTTTTATCTATAGTAGAATGCTTTGAAAAAATAAATATTCATTAATATATAAATATATCAGTAAGAACTCGCTACTCTTATAAAAGTTGTGCATGTATATTAAAGTTATTAAATAGCGCGCACATTATCAAAGCACAAAAATAAAAGAAAATATTGAGTTTTCTATTTTTGAATCAATTTTGACAACATATATTTTACGGTTTTTCACAGAATGAACTACCTGTCGTCTAGTAACATTTGATGCACGATTGCAAGCATAACTGAAAAGGCAAATATCTAGAGTTAATTTTAGTTTCATTCAATAGTTATTAAATATTCATTGTTCGTAGAACTTCTCTAATTCTGTATCTGATAGTCGTAAGTCAAAGTACTTAGGTTGCATTACTGAGTTTAGTATAATTTTCACAATCGATCAAGTTTATATTCTGAATTACAATGAATAATATGAGTTTGTCTAGAACTAAGTTTTCTATTAAATCAATAGTTTTTCCTGGTACGACTAATTTACATGAGCTTTACAATTACTAAAAATTAAAGGTCAAATGATCAATATTGTCTATTTGGAGCAAAACATTCAAAAGTTATCATCATGCTTTCAAAATAAAATCAACATTATACCTGCTATCTGATCATCTAAATCAGTATCGTAATTATTATCGTCGTTTTGTTCCATTTGTTCCAATTTGCTCATACAGAAAATCTGAGTATGACAAACGACAAAATAATGACATTTCTTTTTTTTCTCGTCATTTTTTTTTTTACTTATTTCATCGCATCAAATATTTAATGTTGATTACATACCATTGACAGCTGAATACTTTCAGCTTAATGAAAAAAAAAGAAAGAAAAAGCAATTCTCTTTTAATTTCTTTTTTCCCTTTCTAGTTTAAATAGGAAATAATATCATTTGGAAACATTGTTTTCTTCTTTTTTTGACAACTATTTGTCATTGAGTTAAAAAAGTGTAAAAACCATAATAAAAAAATATTCTATTTTTACACTATTCTTTTCTTGTTTATTTCTAGATTTTGTTTTGTTTTTTTCTTCGAACGTATAATGTAATACATAAGTTGACAAGAACAACAATCAAACAACAAGAGAAATGTTCTTCAAATTGAAATATCTACGATACTAATATATATATATATTTATAGATACGCGTTGAACGCAGTTTTTTTTTTTTTTCTTAATAGTTTTTTTCTGTTGAAACGAACAAGAAGAACAAAATGAAGAGGAAATAGACAACACAAAAGAACATATATATTTTTAATAATTTTTTTTTTTTGTTATTGCCCTTGTTTTTCAGTGAAATAATCAACGGGTAAAAATTTTCTTGGCTTCATATTATCTCTAATAAAGAACAACAACAGTAATGAGAAAAAGAAAAAAAAAAAACAAAAGAAATTAAATGAAATAATCATAATATATATATACACACACAATGAATACGATAAACATGTTAAACGGCTCTCTTGATTATTGTTTGTTTGTTTTTTCTAACTGTTCAAATACACACACACACACACACACAAAGCTCGTAAAGATCTTCCTGAGAGAGCAAATACACATATAATGATATCAAGAATGAATGTTCATTTTTTATCTACTTTTTGCTTTTTTGTTTCTTGTTTTGATTTAAAAAGAACATACAAACAATAGACACGCAATGTAATAAAATTGTATAGATCCATTTAATCTTGCATATCCTCGGGAATTTCATGAGGATTAAGAATACCTAAAATAGAACAAAAGAATTTAAATTTTTTTTCTTCTTTTCTTCTTATTTTGAAATTTTAATTTTTTTTACTAACCGGGAACACTCATTTGTATTTTACGTTTTTCTTCAGCTGCTCGTTTTAATGTTTGTTCTCGATCTTCTAAATATAAATCAGCTGTATCATTTCCAGTTGCTTCACGTATTTGAACAAGAAAATCACGTAAATGTTCTTTAAAACCAGCAATATCTTGGTCTAATGTAACAAAACCTTCAATAATAACTTTAACTTGATTATCTTGTAAGTGTGGAAATGCTGTTTTTAATAAATTAGCCATAAATTGTTGAACATAAAGTAAATTTTGTGATGGATCTTGTACTTCAGATGCTAATGGAACTTTAATAAGACCTTGTTCAGCAATTAAAAATAGATTAGCCAATATTTGGGAATGAGCTGTTAAACCTTTAAGAAAGAAAAATAAATAAATAAATAAATAATTATTAATAAAAATTAATTCAAGAAAATCTTTTTATCAATTATAATTTTTATTTTATATTAATTAAATCAATGATTTATTGAAATAAGACTACATTATAACGTTATTAAGCAATCTGTTGAATAGTAAAATTTAATCATTCAAAGAAAAGAACTGTGTATACAATTAGAGAAGAGCCCGACGGATTCTATATGAGTGTATTTTTTCTTTGAGAAGATTTATTTCTATCAACAAAATGCGAGAAAAATTTTTAATAGCTCAGCTTGTTCCATAAGTCTTGTTATTTATTTTTTCATAACAGATTTTAAAATTTTTGTATTTTTAAAAGCAATTTTTGAAACAGTGATTTTCTGATCAATCCCAATTTCTATAGAAACTAGTTTTTTCATGAAAACGCATAAATAAGATTTTACTTATTATAATATTCCATTTTGTACTTTTTCACAAAACTTACTGATAGTTGTTGTATCTTACTTCAGAAAGAAAATCTGAACATATACTCGGAAATAGCAAAAAAAAATTCTGTTTCTAAGTAACTGCATCCGGCTTTAGTCAGTTTTCTTTAAATGAATGGAAATTGAATTAATATTTTATGCTGAGACTTTCACAGTGTACATTATAAGTATCGATAATATAAATCAAAATCTTTATGCTACATTGATTTTTCAATCAATCGTAATAGCTTAATCAAAGGTGGACGTCACTCTACCATCAAAAAGAAAAACGTAATAATTACAATCATTAACACTATTTTGCATGGATTTCCCTCAAGATCGCAGGGCACTGTCCTAAGACCTACTAGAGCCCGACGGGTTCTAATACCCACGGTCTCCTATATACGTTACTACTCCACTCGTGGACAAGTGCATAGAGAGCAGTAGACTGCGTTATGAAAAATGAATCTAACAGAACCTAATACATTTTAAAGCTTAACCTGAACAAGCTCGCAAGTCGAATACACTTAAAGAAAACTAATGTACAATTCCAATTCGCCAGCAAAAACTCTTAGATTCATAATAATGCTTTAGTTTTATTTCATCCGATCTTTCTAAGATATACTAATATGAATATGTTCTTACCAGATGTATGTGAACATTCGGCAACAACAGCAAAAATATGTTGCATTGTTTCAAGATAATAAACTTGATAAAAAGTTTGTGCAGCTTGTGGATCACATGTTTGAAATTTTCTTAACATTATTTGAAGAATTTCTAAACCTAATTCTGATATTGTACGCATTGTATGTTTTAATGCCCACATAATTGAATCATAGACAAGTTTAAATTGTGCTGCATTCAACGCTAATAATGCTAAAAAAGACAAAAAAAATTGTTTTTCGAAAAAAAAAAAAAAAAAAAAAACTTTTTTTTTTTCGCAATAAATTTACCTGGAAAACAAACATTTATAACCGATTGAAGTAATGTATAAAAATTTTTTCTATGATCTGGATAATCTTCAAAATTTTTATCAATCATATGAAGTGTATGTTCAAATGTTAAATCAAATATATCTGATATACGATTGATTAAACGATTTTCAACTTTATTTATTAATATAGCTAACATATTTAATACTTCAGATTCACGTGCTTCAGGATGACAATCACGATAATCAATTAATACAAATGTAAATAATGGTGATAAAAATTGATCAAGTATTTGTTGCATATTATTTGCTTTTGAAAAATAACTACCAAGTAATATTAATGTATCTTCTTTAATAGCCATCATTGATTTAATTAAACGTTGTTTAACAACTATTGGTCCATTTATTCTTATTGCTTGATTTATATTTTCTGATGTTACTTTATATATATGTAACATATCTTGATAAATTTTTGTTAATTGATGAACATATGGTGCACCTAAGGCTTTTGATGCACGAATATTTGTTTTAAGTATATTTAATATATTACTAACAACTTCAGGATCTTGTAAACAATCAACGGATTTTTTAGCTTCAGATATAATTGTATTCCAAACATCATTTGGTAATTGCATATATTTTTCAATTAATTTTGTTTGTTGTACAACATCAATACTAGCTGCAATCATATTACCAACAGCTTCATAAAATGTATGAACTTGATGTGGTTCCAAATGACATATAATACCATTTATATTTGTTAAAATTTCATCAACAAATGGTTGTGATTCACCTAATTGTATTGTTATAAAATGACGACGACATTTTTGTGCTATTTTTATAAATGTATCACATGCCATATCTTGTACACCTTCATGAGTTTCTATTAGAGAAATAAATGAATAATATATTTTTTTTTTCTGAAGAACAGAAGAAAAGAAAAATAAAATGTCAATACCGTGCATAAATTCAAAAAGTTTATTAACAACTGTTTTAAGAAATTTCCAATGTGCACGAAGAAAACGTGGATATTGACCAACAACATACATAATATTTGATGCTATAATAGCTTTATTATCTTTACCACGTTTTTGTTCACATAAACCAAGTAATTCCTAAAAGATTAAAATAATAAAATAAAATACAAAAAAAACAAAAAAAGTAGTCATTTTACTTTAATAACAGTAACAAGAAAACGTTTTTCATCATCTTCAACCATTGCACCTGATATTGAACCAATAGCCCAGCAAAGCTAAAACAAAAAATTAATTAAATTATTCTGATAAGAATAGGAAAAGAAGTAATATAAAGCAAGGAAAAAAATATAGACGGAAGAGTATTTCCATTTGAGCGTAAAATAAAATGAATCGATATTTTTTTGTCGGTTTCGCAAGAAAAAATGAATTTTTCTCATTCAAAATAATTAACTTTCCGTAAATATAAAAATTCTCATTCAATTTATTAACTTACTGTATTTAAATTTTTCCATGACCATTCTGATCCATTAACTTGATTTGCTAATTTTTCTGTCATAATCGATTCTGTATCGATATAATCCAAATGTGTTAAATATACTAAAGACAAAACAACATGTTCAAATCAATGATTTTTTTTTTGTTTTTTTCTAAATTCTTTACCAAGTGTTTCACGCATATTTTTATAAAGATTAATTGCATCAGTATCTTTCATAAATTCTCGTACAACTTCACCACGTTCATTTTCTACAACAAGTACTTCTTCAGGTCGAGCCATACGTGATATCATTATACGTCGAACCTAATTTTTTTTTTGTCAATTAAAACAAATGAAGATTTTTAAAAAAAAAAAACTAATCAAAATTTATTTTCTACTTTTGATAAAATAACACTATAAAATTGTCGACGTGATGGTGTATTATTTGTACTATTCGTACTTCGAATATATAATGGTGCTGTTTGTTGATATGGTACTTCACGATAAAGTTCAGCACTTAATATATTCCAATATTCTAAACATATTTTAAATATTTCAATTTCTTCAACTTCAGATATTAAAACAAGATATTGTAATGATTCAAATAATGTTTCTTTTAAATCAGATGTACGTTCAATTAAAACACCATGTTCTTTTAAAAAA